GGCGGCCGGGAGCTGCACAGAAGGCGGGGAGATTTGCAAACTGTTGCTGCCACATGGCTGCTCCATTCGATCCATTCACATTGAAATGAGGCCGGCGCGTGCCTCATCTGCCGCAGGGCGCTGCCACGCGTCGGCCCGGCCCGCCGCGTGCCAACTGGGGCAGTGGGGCTGGCAGAGCCTGCCCGCCGTGGGGGCGCAGCCCCGGCCCTGCGGCCAGGAGGGGGGGGGAGGAGGGAGCCCGGCTACTCTAGCCACTCAGGCGCCGCAGTTGCAAGGACCTTGGCCCTACCATTGGGAGAGAGCTGGCGAGAAAGGACCAGGACCGACGGGTTTCAGAGGGGGGCCGGGATCGATGCCGCCGCTCCCCGCAGATGCGCCCCGGCAGCGCTACTCTCCATCTGCCGCTGCTCGCACCTGCCGGTCAATAAATCGATTTTACAATTTAATGCAGCAGCTTCCCGCCCGCCTGGGACAGATGCCGCAGCAGAACCACCTCCGCCTTCGGCCCTCCCCTCGAGGGGCGCCAGCGGTTAGGGATGGGATTCCCGCTCAGCAGGCGGCGCCCCGCGGGGCCTGGCTCGCCCGTCTCTCGCTGGAGCCCCTACAAGGAACTGCCTGCTCCGGGTTTTTCCCCCGCGGGACAGAGTGGGTTCCCCGTAGGACGGGCCTGAGGCTGGCTGAGAAGAGAGGATGGTGGTGACTTGGTGGTGTTCTTGAGGCCTCACTTGGGGGCTTCGAGGGAGGAACAGGATGCAGTGAGTGATGACAAGATGTGAGGGCCCCGTGAGGAGGAAGGAACGGAGCCTGGGGCGGGAGCACTGAATTCTGAAGAGTCTTCTTGAGGGAGGACTGAGCAGAGGTGGGGAGGATGGAGGTGGAAGGGAGCCTCTCCCCACTCTCCAGGTGAGTCTGGTGGGTACGCATGATATGAGCCTGACTCTTGGCGCTTCCCAAACGTGGTCTTGGCTTGTAACTTAACCCCCACGCTACACCTCAGTTTTCTCATCTGCACAATGGGGATCATGATAATAGGGACATGGAGGGTGACTGAGAGACTATATTACGCATTTGCCGGACTCAGCATCCCTTTCCCCCAGGGGACATCCGGCCAGTCAGGGGCAGAATGGGAGTGGAGGGAAGATCCCTGACTGCAAATGAGTTCCAGGAAGAAAGGAAGGAAAAAGGAGAGCCAATGACAAACACTCCTAAGGGACGAGGCATGAGGAACAAAAGGTGGGGGAGAAAGAGAGGAAAGCTAGGTGGGCATGCCAGGGACACAGACCCTGTGGGGAAGGTCAACTGTTTGAAGTCCTTTTGTGGGGAAAGGGCGTGGCAAAGTTCTAGGCTGGAGGAAGAAGACTGCAGCTGGAGAAGACGCGAAGGTTTGGAGGAGCCAGCTGTCCACAGTCTTGGCCTTCTAGACCATGATGACCTCTGGTCAGGGCCAAGCGTAGGTCTCAAACAGGCACCCTCCTCCTTCATGGTGGCAGTTCAGAGCAGAGGCCTGTGGAAGGAAGGAGGAGGAGGCAACTTCTGAACTGCCCTGGTCATTGAAGCTCCTGGCAGCTTGGGTGGCTCAGCCCTCCCCACGTCACTGAGAGGGCACTCTGGGCTGAACTGTCCACTGCTGATGCCTCATGGCTGATGACCTGAACGTACTGAGGAAGGGAGGCCCAAGTGGGCAGGGCCGTTGGGCATGAATCAGAGAGCCTGCTTTGGCTTCTTCTGAGACCAAGAGTCCTCCCACCTCCTCTCTCCCAGGTTCCCCAGGAACCTGAGGGCCCAGGCTACTCCCAGGTTGTCTCCTTTGCCATCTCAGAAGACCCAGTGAAGGAGGTGCCTGACCCTGGGGTAACTGAGGTAGACTGGGCCCTCTCTTTCTGGATGAGGACAGCTTTGGCCTGCAAAGACAGTGGACCCCAGAGAGGAGAAGCTAAGAAGCCTCTTTTAACCATGACTCGTGGTGGGTAGGAAGCTCTCCCCAGGCCCCTTGGGTGCTAGTCAGG